GAATCTGAATTCATTGGTTGTTTGTTGCCCCTATTTTATGAAGAGACATGTATGTGAAACAATGAATACGAAGGGATGAAGTTTCTTTCGCATCAGTGACTATTTAAAGTGAAGTAAATCTCGATTCACTACTTTAGTGAATCTCGATTCATTATAGTGAATCGAGATTCATCCACTACAGTGAATTGAAAATGGCAGAATTGAAAATAAATACATATTAATTAAATACACATCACCTATCAAAATTAATGTAAAAGGGGTAATTTAAGAAAGATTCATTAAGGAAACACACTGTAATTAATTATCCAGTCAAACACTCCATTTCACGAAACACACTGTAATTAATTAGCAATTAATTAGCAATAATTCCCAAAAACGATAACGCTCGAGATGAAGAAAAACAACTGAAGTGAATCTCGATTACAATGATTCTCGATTCACTGGAGTGAATCTAGATTCACTGGAGTGAATCCAGATTCACTCCAGTGACTCTAGATTTTTTTTTTTGGGTTGCCTAAGCCGTGAGATCACATGGGGAAATAAAAAATTAAACTTGTATTTATTATTTAATTATTTAATTGTTGGAAATAAAATTATAGCACATGCATTTATTTCTTACTCTTGCATGGAGAACTCAACAGACAAGCATTAATTACCTCTCTTTGGGGGCTGTTAATTTTACCTGATTACCCTTATGCAGCTTTAATCTCAGCCATTGGATGAATCAGGATCCAATGGAGAGGATTGGTTTTTAGTTTTTAGGATAGTGAGGTTTTTATTTGAACCTCTCCCTATATATATATATATATATAATACAATTTGTTTATGTATAATATATGAATGGCATGAATACTTTGGGTTACTTAGTCTAATTGTAAAATTTAGGAGTTTGAAAAGGAGGTTAGTGGCTCAAATCCTAGCCACGACATATATATTTAGAGGTCTTTGATTGGGTCTTGGGCCTTGGGACTCTTTGAATTCTACAATTATTTTTAATTTTGTTTGTTTCTATAAAATCTATAATTATTTTATATTATTTTATCATTTTAATTTCTAAAAAATTTATATTTTTAAATTACATAATTACAAATGATTAATAATATTTTTTTATTAAAATTGTGTTTATTTTTTGCTTCGTTTTCTTGAAAAATTTTAAAAAAAATAAAAGTCAAGAAAACTAGGTCGGCCCGCTCAGGCCCGTGCCCGGGTCCGGGCTCTGGTTTTGCCCGTTCCGGACCTAGTTTTTTGGGCTGGGCCGGGCCGACCCGGATGGACAGGCCTAAGTAGGAGTAAGCATTATTTTCCAAATAATATTTGGTGCAAACTGTTTAAATCGAACCGTCCAAATTTTGATAGTTCAGTTGAGTTTTAGAAAATCTTGATTTGGTTCGGTTTTACGATTTTTAAAACTAAAAATAACAAATCTGCCTGTTCGCAATGTAATTATTTAAAACTCGTACTCTTTATAGGAGGAATAAATAATTTATACTGATATTTTTATGTGTCTTAATTGACAAAGGTTTCATTTTAGCTTGTAGAGTAATTGATTTAACGTGTTTTCTCTTCAACTTGAGATATGAGGTGACTGATAAGTTTGAAGAAGTGATAGTCTCATCTTTTGGTTAAAAATTATGTAACTTGACATGTCTAGACCCGTACCAGACAAATCAAACTAAACTAGATTCAGCATTCAACCGAATCACATTGAACCAATTTTGTTCATTTAGATTTAGTTCAATTTGACCAAAAAAAAAAAAAAAGAAAGTCAAGACCAACCGAACCAACTATTTTTTCACCCTTAGGCACAAGACCAAGAGATTCATTGTTTAGAACGGTAAGCAAGGGAGAGCAAACAGTTGCTTCAGTCGGTTTAGGCTTTAGTTTTCAAACAAGACCGAACTCATCTAGATTCAAGCTAAACTGAACTTCGATTGTTTTTTTTTCTTTTTTTTTTCTTTTTGTTCCTTTTCCTTTTACGTTGATATATGCCAGAGCTATTTTGGCAAATAATAATAATATTATTATTATTATATGTATTTTTAAAATTTTCCTCTAAATCATTATATTGTTGATTTGCCCCTAAATTTTTTTTCCGTCCAATTTCACTCATCAACTTAAACAATGAAGAATCAAAATAGGAATATTTTAAACGAAATAAATTGTTTAAAAAAAATTTAACCTTTCCTTTGATATAGATCTAATTTATCTATGTTGGCCTCTCTTTCTCAAACTCTTATTCTGAATATACAATAAGGAGGATATCCATTGAATAACCTTTTTTATATTTCGTGCAGTTATCTTACTATAGATTCCACATATATCCATAGTTTTCCTTGGATAATAAGACAAAAAGACTCGCAGAAAAAGGGCACTACCATAAAGTGATATGTTTATAATTAAATATTATTAACTGATAAATAGCTTTCAACCTAGCAAGTGTAATGAAATAGTATATACACAGATAGGAGGTATTTGTTTGCATGTAAGTGAAAAAAGAAAGTATAAAAGTAAATCACTTTTAACAATATTTGTTGTTTTGTTTGCTTGCTACTGATTTTTAAGATAAATGCAAAAAAGTTGTTGATAAAAATTTGACATTTTCTACAGATGTGCTGATTTCACATTAATATAAAAAAGCATGGATCGTTTTTAATTAATGGACTTTATCTATCCTATAAATAAAGCAAAGCTTTCCTTTTAGTCTTTGTGATTCACATTTTCAGAGTTTCGAAATGACTCACACACTTTGAAAAAAAAACAACATAAATGTCTTCACACTTAAAACAATGTCAATGCCATGACACTTGAAGAAATCAACAAAATACAAACAAACTTGGAAAAAAATACAAAAAAGGTAAAGCACTTTAGTTGTTCATTCTTATCATTTGATAACAATTAGGAAATAGCCTTGTATTTCAACACTAGAGGACAACAAAGAGTCAAAAATAAAGCGGGAAGCGAAATGAGGCGAAACAACAATGATAGGAGGTGAGACTGGCTGGCCTCATTAACAGAATCCTCTGCTGGTTTACCAGCTAGTCTGATAGGTTACGGGTAAGTTTGGCAATCTCATGTTTTGGTCTATTTTGAAATTCTATTTGGGATACCGCTCCTATTGGGTTATGTATCAAGTTTGGGGTCTATAAAAAATTGTATCCAGGCCCCTCCATCATGATTCTAGCTCATGATTAGATATGCTAGCTCATAATTAGACATGTCAGCTCCTAAAATTCCGACCTTACCCTCTTCTCTTTCTCATGCCAGCGGTTATAGTTAACATGTTAATTGTTATAGTTAACATATTAACTGTTATAGATAACATGTTAACTGTTATAGATAACATGTTAACTTTTATAGATAATATGTTAACTATTATAGATAACATGTTAACTATTACAGTTCACGCATTGAGCTCAAACGAAAACCATTAGCACATCCTTCTCCATCCCCATTGGCACGTGGGCCGCGTCCAGCATCTCCGCCAAGCCCCCATCGCCTGGAAATGCTTAGAGAGCAGACCAGGGGAGGGAGGTGGGGCGGGGGAGGGAGGCGGGGGAACATTCAAAGTTGGGATTTGGGGCCTTGAAGCAATTTTTCCTTGATAATATGACAATCCATTGTATCCATGACCTTTATTGGAAGTATACCTTTTTGGTTGTCCTTGTTTATTATAAGAAGTAGATTTCATGCATGCATGCTCTGAGGATGCGATGATCCATTGCATCCATCACCTTTATTGGAAGTATACCTCTTTTCGCTCGTCTTCCTTTTATTATGAGAAGTAATTTCAAGTAGGTGAAATGCATCTTCATAGAGTTCCCATCATTCAAGACTTCTATTCAGAATTTCAAACTTGGGATTTATGTGTATTAACTTCAAAAAAAATTTACTTGGTTAATGCTAAATAGAATGCATATGTTCATCTTATGGAAACAAGAGAACTTATGGAACATTTCCGACAGATACGATAACAAGATCTAGTGTGGAGACTAATGAGGATGAAGCAAACACACGCTACCATGCTTTTTGTACAACCAATTTTCATGCCTTAGGGAGTTTCGGTTGGCATCAGGGCTAGCTGTTTTTTTAAAGGCTCAGCCAGCACGAGTTTACTTATGTTTCTCCTTCCCTTTTGGCATTTTATTCTGTATCAAATGCCTCGTTGACATTAGCTTCAAGTCAGGTTGAGAATCTTTTGGTGTATTATGGTGTCACTAGTAGAAAAACGAGCAACCTAGACGGAAATATGGTGTCACTAGTAGAAAAACGAGCAACCTAGACGGAAATATGGTGTCACTAGTAGAAAAACGAGCAACCTAGACGGAAATATGGTGTCACTAGTAGAAAAACGAGCAACCTAGACGGAAATATGGTGTCACTAGTAGAAAAACGAGCAACCTAGACGGAAATTTCCATCTAGGTTGCTCCAAATCCCATCTAGATTAGTTCAACTAGACGGAAATCCGTCTAGTTAGGTCCGTTTATTTTGCTTCCGTTTAGTTTGACGCAACCTAGATGAAATTCCTTCTATGTTGATCAATCTAGACGGAAGTCAACCTAGACGGAAGTAAGAATTCCGTCTAGGTTGAACCTAGACGGACAGCCGTCTAGGATAAGTCAACCTAGATGGAATTCCGTCTAGGTTGATTATGACAACCTAGACGGAATTCTGTCTATGTTTCCTCACCCTAGACGGAATTCCGTCTAGGTTGATGTTTTTTCAGCAAAAAAAATTAATTATAATTTGTATTTCCCTGTACAATTACATTAATATATGAATACATCCAATAAATATTATACACATGAATACATCCAATCATCCAAATATAATCAAAATTCATAACAATTCCATTCAAAACCAAATATAATCAAATCCAACACAATGCACAAATCCAACCATCCAATCCAATATATATATCAACCAATTCCGTCTAATATATATATCCAACAACATATATACTAACAATGTACATGAATAAGATATGATACACGACATGAATAAATATAGTGTTATAACAAATAAAACTGTTTATTGTATTAAAAATAAAAAAAACCTCATCTATCATCGTCGTCGGCGGTATCTCTATCCCGGTTGCGAGAACGGGTGCTGCTCCCTCTAATATCTCCACTCTGAATGTTCAATTGAATAATCATTATGTGGTGTTTGATAACATATTAAATAAAAATGAATTTATAAATATAAGAACAAATAAGGTACCTGAGTGCTGCTCTATCTAGCGTCGGAATTATTGTCAATCGAGCTTATGATCCGTATGATACCACCATACGTGCTATAAGGAATCGTACCGCCTAAATTTTGTATAACATACCCCATAATATCGTCCATCGAGTTCGCCGTCAGCGTAACTCTAGTCATCTCATTAGTCACCTGAATATGCAGCTCCGGGTCAATCTTGTCAATCAAATACGCAGAGATACGTGCGATAAATGGCATAGCCTGGAAACTGCTAGGGGCTGCTCTCATTGATGTAGATGGCGTGGAGGATGTTGTGGATGATCTCACGCTTATGCGGGGTGAAGATCCAACACTATGCAGAGGATATCTTCCTCTCCTATTATTAGGGAGAAATAAATATTAAATTTTACTCTCGAATTCAATAATGGTAAACAAATATAAATAGGAACTAAGTATTCAAATTGATTCGATTTTTTATCATCCATACCTATTATGACCCATCAGGTTCTGTGTGAGAGTAATGTTCTCCTCTGCAGAAAGCATGTAAGGGTCCGGCTCGGTTTGTTCCTCCTCCTGTAAAATGTACACAGATGCAGCCTCCTTGGATGCAGCCTCAAATCCCTCCTAAAGCACAAATATATAGTTAATTCAAGGTAAAGACCATATTATTTGTGTTCTCGTTTCCTCATAGTATTAACAACAAAATAGAGTTAATAATACTACTCAAGATATGTATAAGTCTCACCACCAACTCGAGATTTGCCTTGATCTTATCCCGATTCTTCTCATCACCCCTATATCTATCACGGAAAGTACCATACGACGCTTTTGCCCTCAAGTGTATCGTCATTAATGATTTTCCCTATCATATTATAAATTATCACACTCATAATCATACTAAACATTAAGATCATTTAAATCTTTAAGTGACATATACCGTATCCTAACAATAAACATCCTCCAGATTGGCATAGGAGTGTGAGCCCAAGTTGTGGTCATGCAGCTTCTTTCTTCTATTTTCTAACCCCTTCGTGAATTTATTCTTTTAAAAAAATCAGTAAATATGCAATGAAATAATATCTTAAAATTATAAAATAATTTTCATGAAACTAACCTTGGCGGCATCGCTGTCCCAATACATGAGGAGAGCCGTGAAATAAATCTCGTCAACTCGGTCATCGAGGTTTAAAAACCTATGCCAGTCCTTCTCATACCTGTCATAAGTTTCATGTTTGATCTCATGCCTCCATTGTTTGAGGACTGCTTCAACCTTGACATTAAACACATAATTCCAAGCCATCTCAAAGTCCTCAAGGCAGAAGCAGTCCTGTAGATTTACATACACATTTAGTAAAGAGAAATTAATATCAAATACTAATTATTAATAAATAAAAATCTAAAGCAATATACACTTACCATGAGCTCAGTCCATATCGCCTCGTATGCGGTCCATGGTAATTCTCGAAATAAAAATAAGAGTTGATAATATTCGCTCTACGCACGAGAACCCCAATATATGCATTCAATCGGGTCGACCAAGGACCAACGGGCAAATTAGAACTATTCCACCGAATTATTGCCCTCATTCCTCTTGGCGGTTGTTTAGATTCAGGCTTACCTCCGCCACGTCTGTTCTCTACGCGATCTCGCTTAGCACCTATAATAATAACATGATAACATATCATATAATATATAAATATGAAAATTAAAAGTATTTATACAATTTACCATTCGTTATTTCTCTTTCTTTTGCTACGACTGCAACAGCTTTCCTAGTCTCCAACATAGGAAGCATTTCCTCTAACTTTGTCGCAGCACGTGGGTGGTACTTCCTTGAGTCAGCCTTGGACTTATGAGAGTTTGGAGGTAAGGGTAAACTGAGATAGTCCTGTGTCTTCGGCCGCAAGTCAATATGTAATGTATATGATGGATATGTCGAAGTCCAAGAAGCACCTACATAAGAAAGGAGAATCATTAATATAAAATTTTAATGGACCATTATCAATTATTAAATATTGAATACCTGTGTCGGGGGATAGTTTTGGTGCTGCATCAGAGGGGCCGGGTGATGAATATCTCGCATCTGTAATAAATGAATACTATGAGCTAGATAACTAATAATTTATAAAATATATTAAAATATTAATTAATTTTTATACCTACATCCGGAAATGGTAATGTATCATCAGCACCACTACATGGGGTGATACTCCGTGATCGATCACCCTCCGGGTCAAAGAGCCTCTTCGCCCTCCTTATCTGCAAATTTAATTATTAACATAGTTAAGAAAAAATTGTATACATGCTCATGATATATGAGTTTATGAAATGCATTATTGTTTTTATTATGGTAAGCTAAAAATCGGTAATGCAGTGTAATATATATAGTTCATACCTGCATCCAGCGTCACATTCTGTGTGTAAGAGAATTCTTACCAAACATCATCAGATGACCCAATTGGTTCACTATAATTATCTTCACTTTCTTCAATAGTTTTTCATTGTTATTAGGAAAAACAATAGATCTTGGCTCCTTGTACAAAACCACCTAATCAAACATGTCATTCGGATCTTTCATGAAGAAGCACTGATTAGCTTGTTCTGCGAAAATAAATTTCTCATCCGTATATACTTCTCGGTGGAGATTGACTAGTATGAATCCATAATGATCCTTTTGCTTTTTTACAGGACACCACCGAACCTTGAACATTGTGTAAGTACATTATTTTGGTTTACCAAACCCATAAATTACCTTAACAATATCTTCTAATTGGTTATAATATAGTATCGGCTAGAATTGGGTTCTGATCTCTTATACTTGAAAAACATTCTTGAGCAAACAAGCCCATGCCCCACTGTTCTGAGTTACCCTCCTATCATCGGTCTCTAGCGTTCGAAATTTATATCCATTGACCAAATGCTCATTATAACGTCTCACTTCATGATAAGGGCGTTGTGCATGGAAATTAATTTCATCTGGTAATATAGTACCATCAAGAAGTGATTTTTCAACCTAAGACAAACAATTTGAGAATATTTAGGTGATGTTATATTATGAATGTTCAATAATTAATTGTAAAACACTTACATCAATTCATCAAAAAATTCTTTCTTATGTCTTTTCCGAATATTATGCGATGCATTCCTACCGGTTGTTTCATTCTTAAGCTTCTCCAGATGTCGCCTATATAAACAATATATAAGTTTGTATTGATAAACTATATGTAAAATGAATATTTCTCATCTATATTACTGATTTTATTTGTTACCTTCGATTGTGAACATATCAAGGTTTTCCAACACATATGCATGAATTTGATCTAAGAGAGATCTCGGATAGTTTTCACGCTTCCTCTCCTTATCAGGTACTTGAGATGTGGTTTTCTTCTTGCGCATGTAACGTGATGCAAACACAAAGCATTTGTTAGCCACGTATCCTTCAGCTATCGAGTTTCTTCTTGCGCATGTAACGTGATGCAAACACAAAGCATTTGTTAGCCACGTATCCTTCAGCTATCGAGCCCTCGGGACGAGCTCGATTGCACAAAGCATTTGTTAGCCACGTATCCTTCAGCTATCGAGCCCTCGGGACGAGCTCGATTGCGAACATTATGTTTCTTGGAGCCAAAGTATCTTAGAATCATAAAAGTTAATTATTAGCACGGTAATTTTAAAAACACATACAATTAATGAATGTAACAAAAACCGTAAATTACCTTTCAATCGGATACATCCAACAATAAGTAACAAGACCAACGATTCTAGCTTCTCTTGCAAGATGCTGAGTAAGATGGACCATAATTGTAAAAAAAGAAGGAGGGAATATTACTTTCATATTGCATAGAGTAACTCGAACCTCGGCTTCAAGTTTCTTAAATTCATCTACATCTATGACTTCAGGGCATAATTTTCTAAAAAATCCACAATACTCAATAATAATCTTCGACGCTTCTTTCTCCATATTATTACGGATTGCGACAAGGAGCAATTGATGGAGAAGAACATGATAATCATGGGTCTTCAGACCTAAGAGTTTTCTCTCTTACACCTGGACATTATTTAAAATGTTAGCAAAGTAACCATCCGGCGACTTTACCGATTTGAGAATTTCACAAAATCGTTGCATCTGCTCATTTGACATTGTAACACGAGACAGAGATAACTTTAAGTTTTTAAGGCTAACATCTTGAGCTTACAAATCATTTTGGATATTCAAAGAAGTCAGATCTTGGCGCGCCAGTAGGTCATCCTTCAACTTGTTTGCATCTTGTAGGAGAGTTGATACTATGTTATCATATATATTTTTCTTAATATGCATGATATCTAAGTTGTGTCGGATTTTAAGATTTTGCCAGTAAGGTAGCTGAAAGAATATACTAAATTTAGTCCATCCTCTAGGTAATTTTTGGGCTTCGTCCTCAACTTGCATTTTACGGACCTTTCGCTTACGCTTCAATGGCTTTTTTGACTTTAAGTAATCTCTTACTCCAAGAAGGTTAAATTTAGAATAGCGATTTTTTTCAAACACAACTTGTGGAAACCCCTCAAGTAATTTTACGATCTCATTACTTGTCAGCTGATGCGGCTTCATTCTCTTCTCAACTGTGCCATCAAACATAACTGATAGTTTCCTGTACTTATGACTCAAGGGAAACCACCTTCGATTAAACCAATAACAACTCTTTCGGCTATGTGGTAATTAAAGAGCTTCAAATTCAGGACCACATACAGGACAAGCACACTTACCCTTCGTAGAGTACCCGGACAGATTAGCATAAGCTGGAAAATCATTAATCGTCCATAATAGAATAGCACGCACTACAACAGACATGTCTTTTAGCGACCAATTTTTTTGTGAGAAAATTATTTTCCTCAACAAATATCACTTTCGACGAGGAAAATATTGTTTCCTCGGTAAATATTAGTAGGTCTTTTACGAGGAATATATTTTCCTCATAGTAGACCACCTTCTACGATGAAAATTTTAGTTCCTCGCTAAATATGATCATGATTTGGTCTCCTAACTAGTTATTTTATTAGCAAGGAAATATGAGATTTTGGTGATGAACTTTTTCATCACGAAATGCACATTTAACGAGGAAATAATCATTTCATCGCTGTTCTTTTAGCGAAAAATAGAGGAAAACTCGCCAAATGTAACAGCGACAAAGTATGATTTTCTCGCCGAAGATCTATAATCTGCGAGGAACCGTTTTCTCATCAAGAGAATCAATTAGCAAGGAAATAATAGTTTCCTCATTATTAGTTTGGCGGGGAAAAAAAATCCACCAATTTCAATGGTGACAAATTTAAGGCTTCCTCACTAAAAGTTTTTGTTTTTACGAGGAACCGTTTCCTCGTTAAAAAGAACCTATTAGCGAGGAAATAATAGTTTCCTCACTTTTAATTTAGCGGAAAAATTTGTAACACCCGTCAAATTCATTGACGATAAATTAAAGGTTTCCTCGCTAAAATTTTTGTTTTACGAGGAACTGTTTCCTCGTTAAAAAACCAATTAGCAAGGAAATAATAGTTTTCTCATTATTAGTTTGGCGGAAAAATGTGCAAAACCCGCCAATTTCAATAGCAACAAATTTAAGGCTTCCTCGCTAAAAGTTTTTGTTTTACGAGGAACCGTTTTGTCGTCAAAAATAACATATTAGCGAGGAAATTATAGTTTCATTATTATTAATTTGGCGGAAAAATGTGCAACACCCGCCAAATTCATTGACGACAAATTAAAGGTTTCCTCACTAATTTTTTTATTTTACGAGGAACCCTTTTCTCGTTAAAAGAATCAATTAGCGTGGAAATAATAGTTTTCTCATTATTAGTTTGGCGGAAAAATGTGCAAAACTCGCCAAATTCAATGGCGGCAAATTTAAGGCTTCCTCGCTAAAAGATTTTGTTTTGCGAGAAATCATTTCCTTATTAAAAAACCAATCAGCGAGGAAGTAATAATATCCTCATTATTCGTTGGCAAAAATTTTGATGGGAATTTGGGTAAAAAGTAGGCGGGTACTCAAAGAAAAGAGTGGGCCTCTAATATCAATGGCCTAACAAATATCCATATACAATTCAACAATCATGAGCCAATTTAGATTTTTTTTTTTGAATAAATGTCCAACACGAGGTAAAGCTCCAGTATGAATAGAAATAAGGATTTGGTTTGTCTGGTTGATGGTTCCTTTTTGTAGGTTTTTGCACAATTCACATGAAATTGATGGTTCCTTTTTGTAGGTTTTTGCACAATTCACATGAAGATTAACAACCAATTAATATTTATTCAAGTTCAAAGGG